CTTCTGCTTCTCCATCTCCTTCTCCTGCCGGAAAACGGGGGGCACGGGGTCAGGGGGGGCACGGGGGTCAGGGGGGGCACGGGGGGGGCAGGGCGGGCACACCAAAGGGGTCAGGGGGGGGCCAGGGGGGCACAGGGGGGTGTCAGGGATTTGAGGGGCAAGGGGGGTCACAGGGGGGGCACAGGGGGAGGTTCAGCAGCTTCTGCTTCTCCATCTCCTTCTCCTGCCGGAAAACGGGGGGCACGGGGGTCAGGGGGGGCACGGGGGGGTCAGGGGGGGCACAGGGGTCAGGGGGGTCAGGGGGTGTAGGGGGAGTCAGGGATTTGGGGGGCAAGGGGGGTCACAGGGGGAGGTTCAGCAGCTTCTGTTTCTCCATCTCCTTCTCCTGGGGGGCACAGGGGGGTCAGGTGGGGTCACAGGGGTCGGGGGGGTCTGGGGGGTCACAGGGGTCAGGGGAAGTCAGTTTTGGGGTCCCCCCCACCTCGAACGAGTCCTCGGCTGCTTCCTCTTCCTTCTCCTCTTCCTCCTTCTCTTCCTCCTCCTCTTCCCCCACGTGGCAGCTCTGGGGGGGGGATGGAATTTAAGGGGGGGCTCCACAAATTAGCCCCACCCACCCACCCAGCCTTTTAGGGGGGCCCCAAAATCCCTGGGGATGCCCAAAATAACCAGGGAAACCCCCCAATCCCTGGGGACCCCCCAAGTTCCTGCCCCCCACCCTCAGTCCCCCCACCTTTGAGTGCCCCACCCTTGGGGACCCCCCAAATCCCTGGGGACCCCCCCCCAATCCCTGGGGACCCCCCAAATCCCTGGGGACACCCCAATCCCTGGGGATCCCCCCAAATCCCTGGGGACCCCCCCCCAATCCCTGGGGACCCCTCCAATCCCTGGGGACCCCCCCCAATTTCTGGGGAAGCCCCCCCAAATCCCTGGTGATCCCCCCCAATCCCTGGGGACCCCCCAAATCCCTGGGGATCCCCCCCCAATCCCTGGGGATCCCCCCAATCCCTGGGACCCCTCAAGACGGGGGACCCCCCCGATCCCTGGGGACCCCCCCCCCCAATCCCTGGGGATCCCCCCCCAATCCCTGGGGACCCCCCCGATCCCTGGGGACCTCTCCAATTCCTGGGCCACCCCCCAATTTCTGGGGAACCCCCCAGTCTCTGGATCCCCCCCAAATATCCCTGGGGACCCCCCACCCTCCAGGGACCCCCAAAATCCCTGGGAACCCCCTCCCCAATCTCCAGGTCCCCCCCCAACCCCCGGGGACCCCCCCAACCCCCGGGGACCCCCCAACCCCCCCGCCCCCGTGTGTGGGGGTCCCACCTTGGCCATGATGTCGGCGTAGGCCATGTACAGGTGATCCTGCTCCAGGTGACTGTGGGATTGGGGGGGGGGCACAGGTTGGGGGGGCAGGGACCCCCCCAGCCCCCCAGGAGGGGTCCCAGGTGTGGGGTGACCCCCAAAACACCCCCCCGGGGGGATTCTGGGGCCCCCACCCAGGTTTTGGGTCCCCCCCCCCCCAGTGGCATTTTGTGGGGTTTGGGGTCCCCCCCCCATGATTTGGGGTCCCCGAGGTGTATTTTGGGGTGCTTTGGGTGTGTTTTGGGGTGGTTTAGGTGGGTCCCTCTGCTCGGTCAGGGCCGTCCTGCTGAAGTGCAGGATGAGCTGCTGTGTCTGGGGTGTTTTGGGGTGATTTGGGTGTGTTCTGGGGTCCCTGGGGTGTGTTTTGGGGTGATCTGGGTGTGTTTTGGGTGTGTTTTGGGTACCTCTGCTCGGTCAGGGCCGTCCTGCTGAAGTGCAGGATGAGCTGGTGTGTTCTGGGGTCCCTGGGGTGTGTTTTGGGGTGATCTGGGTGTGTTTTGGGTGTGTTTTGGGTACCTCTGCTCGGTCAGGGCCGTCCTGCTGAAGTGCAGGATGAGCTGGTGCAGCGGGTCCGGCCGCGCCTCGGCCTCTTCCTCCTCCTCCTCCTCCTCCCGGCCCGACTTCTGCCCCCCCCAAAAAACACCCCCTCGGGTCAGGGGGGGTCCCCGGAGCCGGAGGGGGTCCCCAATCCCACGGGGGGGTCCCCAATCCCACGGGGGGGTCCCCAATCCCAGGAGGGCTCGGGGCTCACCGAGAGGTCGTCGATCATCCGGTCCTCGAAGGGCGGCTGCTCCCGGCCCAGCCACGAGAGCCGGTACGACTCCAGGAACATGTTACACGCCCGGTGCCTGGGGGGGACACGGGGGGGGACAGGGGGGTCACCTGGGGGGTCACCCGGGGCACCTGGGGGGTCACCCGGGGCACCCGGGGGCTCCTGAGGGTCACCCCGGGGCAGCCACGGTCACCCAGGTGTCACCGAAGGGCTCCCGGGGGTCACCCCGGGGGCCCCAAACACCTCCAAGATCGTTCCCAGTGGAACCCCAGAGCCTCCCAGTCCCCCCGGAGGGGGTCTCAGGGTGCCCACCCCTCTCCCAGTGCCCCCCAGTGCCCCCCAGTGCCCCCCAGTGCCCCCAGCCCCACCTGGGCAGGTTGTAGAGGGGGGTCATGCGGAAGCAGGCGACGATGGCGCGGCGGCGCTGCTTGGACAGGAGCTTGTGCCACACGGCCTTCTTGGACTTGTAGGGGTGCTCTGTCTGTGGGGGGGGCACATGGGCACCCCAGAGACACCCCGGGACCCCCCAGGCCCCCCTGGAACACCCCCAAACCAGGGACAGCCCTGGGACCCCCCTGGGACCCCGCCCAGACCTGCTCGAGGTGGTGGAGCACGGCCGACACCTCCTGCACCCCAGGGACCCCCAAATCCCCCTTGGACCCCTTGGGATCCCCCAAATCCCCCTGGGACCCCCAGGGACCTTCTTGGGAGCCCCCAAACCCCCCTGGAACCCCCCCTGACCTGCTCGAGGTGGTGGAGCACGGCCGACACCTCCTGCACCCCAGGGACCCCCAAATCCCCCTGGGACCCCCAAACTCCCCTGGGACCCCCTCAGGATCCCCCAAATCCCCCTGGGACCCCCAGGCACCTTCTTGGGAGCCCCCAAGCCCCTCTGGGACCCCCAAATCCCCCTGGGACCCCCCAGACCTGCTTGAGGTGGTGGAGCACGGCCGACACCTCCTGCACCCCAAGGACCCCCAAACCCCCCTGGGACCCCCCCAGGAACACCCTGGGAGCCCCCAAATCCCTCTGGGACCCCCAAACCCCCCTGGGACCCCCCCGTGGCCCCCCCGACCTGCTCGAGGTGGTAGAGCACGGCCGACACCTCCTGCACCCTCCTCACGACCTGCTCGGGGGTGTCGGGGTCCTCGTCCCGCCCGGCCTGGCGCACCAGGGCCATCTGCCAGCGGGCTGAGCCCGTGTTCTCCACCTGGGGACATTGGGGACATCATTGGGGACACCCCTGGGGTCACAGGGCCATCTGCCAGCGGGCTGAGCCCGTGTTCTCCACCTGGGGACACATTGGGGACATTGGGGACACCCCTGGGGACACCCCTGGGGTCACCCCTGGCGCACCAGGGCCATCTGCCAGTGGGCTGAGCCCGTGTTCTCCACCTGGGGACATTGGGGACATCCCTGGGGTCACCCCTGGGGTCACCCCTGGGGTCACAGGGCCATCTGCCAGCGGGCTGAGCCCGTGTTCTCCAGCGGGCTGAGCCCGTGTTCTCCACCTGGGGACACATTGGGGACATTGGGGACACCCCTGGGGACACCCCTGGGGTCACCCCTGGGGTCACAGGGCCATCTGCCAGCGGGCTGAGCCCGTGTTCTCCACCTGGGGACATTGGGGACATTGGGGACATTGGGGACATCATTGGGGACACCCCTGGGGTCACCCCTGGGGTCACAGGGCCATCTGCCAGCGGGTTGAGCCCGTGTTCTCCACCTGGGGACATTGGGGACATTGGGGACATCACTGGGGACATCCCTGGGGTCACAGGGCCATCTGCCAGTGGGTTGGGGACACTGGGGACAGGGGGAGGACAGGAGGCCACTGGGAGGACACCCCTGGGGATGTGGAGACGCTGGGGGGCCACGGTGGGACGTGGGGACTATGGAAGGACACACGGAGGACACGGGGACACACAGAGGGGTCCCAGGGGGGTCCTGGGGACACGAGGACCCTGTGGGGACACTGGTGGCCCGCTGGGGACACTGGTGACCTTTCGGGGACGGTGCCAGCCCACCTTGCCCTGCAGGTGCAGGTTGTTGTGCAGGACCTCCCGACCCTCCTCGTCCGTGTCCTTCTGCAGGGGGGGACAAAGGGGACACCTCAGGGGGGGTCCCAGGGTCTGGGGGGTGTCCCCAGACCCTGGGGAGTGTCCCCAAACCCTGGGGGGTGTCCCCAAACCCTGGGGGGTGTCCCCAAGCCCAGGGGTTTGTCCCTGAGCCCGGGGGGCTGTTGGGGGTCCCAGGAGGGTCCCGGGGGGGCCCCGGGGGGGTCCCTGTCACCCACCAGGGCGTATCGGCCCTTGGCCAGCGTGATGAGCTCCTGGTCAGCGGGGGAGCACATGTTGAGCCCGATGGGCAACATCTTCTTGAGCGTGGCCACGATGAGCGACGTGTGCACCGAGTACCGGTCGCCCCGGCGGCGCTTCTTGGAGCGCTCCTGCTCCGAGCCACCCCCCTGGGGACAGGAATGGGGGGGTCAGTGCTGGGACCACCCCCGGGGACACGGGGACAGGGGGAGGGGTCAGCACCGGGACCACCCCCAGGGACATGGGGAGGGGTCAGCTCTGACCCCCCGGGGGTGGGACAGCAGCACCCATCGCTTCTTGGAGCCCTCCTGCTCCGAGCCACCCCCCCAGGGACACAGGAACACGGGGGGGGTCAGTGCTGGGACCCCGTGGAGTGGGGACAGCAGTTTTGGGGTCCTGGCCGACGTGGTCCCCTATTTCAGGACCCCCAGGTGGGGCGTTGGGGGGTCCCGGCCGTGGTGACCCCACAGAACAGGACCCTGGAGGGGTTTTAGGGGGTCCTGATCCCACACTTTGGGATCCCCAGGTGGAGTTCTGGGGGGTCTCAGGTGTGGTGGTCCCATATTTCAGGACCCCCAGGTGGGGTTTTGGGGGGTCCCAGGTGTGGTGGTCCCACAGAACAGGACCCAGGTGGGCTTTGGGGGGTCCTGGCCATGGTCCCATATCAGGACCCCCCAGGTGGGGTTTTGGGGAGTTCTGCTCCCATATTTCACGTTCCCCAGGTGGGGTTTTGGGGAGTTGTTATCCCATATTTCACGTTCCCCAGGGGAGGTTTTGGGGAGTTCTGCTCCCATATTTCACGTTCCCCAGGGGGGTTTTGGGGGGTCCTGGCCGTGGTGGTCCCATATTTCAGGTTCCCCTGGTGGAGTTTGGGGGTCCCGGCCGTGGTGACCCCTCTGAGGGGTCCTGGGGGCCCCCCGGCCCCCCCCAGCCCCCTCCCCCGCTAACCTGGCCGTCTCCAGACTGGGAACAGCACCCGGAGCCGAGGGGGGAGAGAAGAGACACCGTTAGGGACCCCCGGGGGGGGCAGGAGGGGAGGAGATGAGGGGTTTGGGGGGCAGGAACGGGGTCAGGGGGGCAGGAATGAGGTTTGAGGGGCAGGAATGGGGTTTGGGGGGCAGGAATGAGGTTTGGGGGGCAGGAATGGGGTGGTTTGGGGGGCAGGAATGAGTGTCTGGGGGCAAGGAAGAATGGGGTCAGGGGGGCAGGAATGAGGTTTGAGGGCAGGAAATGGGGTTTGGGGTGCAGGAATGAGGTTTGGGGACAGGAATGGGTTTGGGGGGCAGAATGGGGTCTGGGGGGCAGGAAAGGATATGGGGTTTTGGGGGGGCAGGGAATGAGGTTTGGGGGGCAGGAATGGGTGTTTGGGGGGCAGGATGAGGTTGTTGGGTGGCAGGAATGGGTCTCCAGGGGGGCAGGAAGAAGAGTTTGGGGGGCCAGGAACGGGGGTCAGGGGGGCAGGATGAGGTTGAGGGGCATCGGAAAGACGGGTTTGGGGGGCAGGAATGAGTTTGGGGGGCAGGAATGGCGGTTGGGGGGCAGGAATGGGGTCTGGTGAGGGCAGGAGGGAGGGGAGCTGAGTGGTTTGGGGGCAGGAATGGGGTCTGGGGGGCCAGGAATGGGGTCAGGGGGGCAGGAATGGGGTCTGGGGGGCAGGAATGGGGTTTGGGGAGCAGGAATGGGGTCTCAGGGGGCAGGAGGGGAGGAGATGGGGATTTGGGGGGGACTGGGGGGACTGGGGGGTTGGGAGGGATGGAGACCAAAGGTTTGGGTGGGATTTGAGGTCTCGGGTGGGTTTAGGGGTCCCAGGAGGGTTGGGTGGGATGGAGACATCTGGGATTGGATGGTTGGGGGTCATTGGGTGGGTTTTTGGGGGTCCCAGGGTTGGGTTTTGGGATGGTTTGGGGGTCACAGGGCGGTTGTGTGGGTTGGGGGTCCTGGGTGGGATTTGGGGTCCCAGGGTGGGTTTGGGTTGGGGGTCCTGGGTGGGATCTGGGGTCCTGGGTGGGATCTGGAGTCC